GAGCCTGGGGCGAGGGGCTGGGAGAAGCCCACACCGAGGTCCACGGAGCCAGGGCCTGGCGGCGCCTGGGAGGTAGATTTGGCCGTCTCTAAGCTGGGGAAGCGAGCGAGAAGGGTGGGGTGGTGAGCACCGTGGTGACAGAGCAGGTCCCTTGCCCCAACCTGCCCGTCTTAGGGTGCAGGGATCACGTGCCTCATCCCTTGAGGCGCAAATCTCCACGGCACATCCTGGGCATCCCGCTGGGCTATAAAGCTCAGGCTCAAAGCCCAAGGGGTCCCGGATCCCACACCCACCATCTCAGGACCTCAAAGCACCACTCAGCTCATCCTTCCTGAGGATGCTGGGGGTGGTGTCCCCCACAAGCTGCATTGGGCTGCTGGGGAGGTGCCATCCCTCGCTATCAACCAGCGTGTCTTCCCCAAGGCTGTCACCTACCAGGCTGTGATGAGGTACTGAGCCACAGTGATGCTGACGGGGGACCCCGTGATAGTCACGTGCCGCTCGCTGGAGCCTTCAATCTGGTTCCCGATCTTGATGTGGGCGCCTGACATCTGCCGGATCTCGCTGATCTTGCTGCCATGCCGGCCAATGATGCAGCCGATGAGCTGGAGGGGCAGGGACCAGGTTGAGCTGGGAGCAGCCGGAGGAGCCGTGCCAAGCAGGGAGCTCCCAGGGGGCTCACCTGGCCACCCGCTACGGCTGGGAGTGGGGAAACCAAGGCAGACACCGGGAGGGCAGGGCACTGCCTTCCTTGGGCAGACCCTGCTTTTTAGTCCCACTCAAGCTCCCCCCTGGCTGGCATTGCTGGGCTGTCACATCCCAAGGCTCTTTCTTGGCATTGGCCAAACCCTTTCTCCCTCCCGTGCCTCAGTTTCTCTTTTCTTCCAGCTGCTTCTGCCCCAGCAGCCCCTCCTGCTCCTGAGCTCTGGGGGCTGAGGCAGAGCCTCCAGCTGTGTGGGACAGTGAGTGTTGGCCCCTTCAAAGAGGCTGCGGGGTGGGACACGTGGGTGGGGGCAAGTTGTGGTCTCCCTCGCCATCCCTGGGACCCACACGTACGTCGTTGGGCACCAGGAACTCCTGGGAGCTGCTCTGGGAACTGGTGTCCAGGCCTGGAGGGAAACACAGGGATGTTAGTGGTGGGGAGCATGGGTCTCCAGCAGCTGCGTGCCCCCACCCCAGCCCCGTGCTGGGACAGTCGGTGGCCCTGGGGACAAACCTGAAGGATCCCTAGGGAGAGGCAGGGACGATGGGACATGGGCACCAGTTGCAATTTGGTGCCAGTGCTCCCCCACTGCAGGGTTGGGGAGCTCTGGTGGGTGCAGGAACCCCAGGAAATCCAGGACAGGGCTGTTCTGGGGGTCAGACCCTGCCGGGGGTGGGGGGGCCTGGGACTGGAGAGGGTGCAGTGGACAGGGACCCCCTCATCACGGCTGGATGGGTCAGGAGAGGCACCCCACACCTCAGCCCTGGAGGGGGGCACAGCAGATGCTCACCTGGCACCATGGAGGGTGTGTGGCCCAGGGAGGCGAAGGGGAGCGTGTGCCCCGACAGCTGCTGCAGCTTCGTCACCTGCTCGGGCAGCGGGAGGAGGAGGAAGGAGGCATTAGGGGTGATGGCAGAGGGTCCTGTGTCCCCTCCTGGGGCCGGACGCTGGCACCCAGTGCCTCCCAGGACAGGCATCCCCGGCAGCACCCATCCTGGCGGGCACAGACCTAGTGCCCATGGGAGCAGAGGTTGGCTGCCACGGGGACAGACTCACCTCTGCGGGAGAGACCCCGCTGTACTGGCCCTGCATGGAGAAGCCCTGGGGAGGAAAGGAAGGAGCATTAGTTGGGGGCCAAGTGGGGACCCCTGCCTCAGGCCATCCCCCCAGGGGAGGGAGGACACCCTGAGCCCACTGGAGTTGCCCCTTGCCAGCAGAGGCTGGGCACCCCAGTCACCCCGTGCCCCCAGGGGGGCTGCAGCCCCTTACCTGGTTGGCAGAGAGCAGGATGGTGCCCAGGGAGAGGCCAGGGTGGTAGGGGATGGTGGCCCCCTTTGGAGGTGACTGGAGAGGGAGGGAAGGGGGTGGAGGGGATGAGAGATGAAGTCGAATGCCCCTGCAGCCCCCTGGATCCCCTTTGCACCCCCC